TCAGAGTCCAGCTGAGAGGGAGCAGCTGACCATGAAGACAAGAAAAAAGTGGTAACCCCTGAGGTGGTGAAAGAATACAGGACCCAAACACAGCTGGAGTCTTAGAAAAGAAGTATTGCTTTCCTATTATCAATAAGAGAAAAGGGTTTCTTTCAGTAGTGGGAAACTGAGGGAAAATTTCTTTTAGGGCTTCAGTTATCTCAGTAGGAGGAGAGGTCATCATTGGAGAGGGAGGAATATGTAGAAGGATTGAGGAATGTGGAGAAGGTCAGAATTGTCATTGCTAAGGATGGTAAGGCATATTGATCAGAGAAACATGCATGCTGAACAATGCTGGATATCATCTGTTGTCTAATAAGCATGGCGGCAACCAACCTGCAGCGAGTCTACGCTCAGCCACCGAAGATGCAGACAGTAGGTTTCATCCAGGCCTGGGTCTTGACTGCTAAAAGGACTGAAGGGAAATGGAGCTGTGGGTACTGGCAAGGGCATTACTGAAATGACAAACCAGGGAATGTAAGTTGGGCCAAGAGGAAAGGGAAGAATAAAAAGGACTAATGGGCCGGGCTCGGTGGCTCAGCCTATAATCCCAGCACTTTGGGAGGCCAAGGCGAGTGGATTGTCTGAGCCCATGGGTTCGAGACCAGCCTGAGCAACTTGGCGAGACCTCATCTCTACAATAAATCAAAAATTAGCTGGGCGTGGTAGTGCATGCCTATAGTTCTGGCTACTTGGAAGGCTGAAGCGGAAGGATCGCCGGAGCCCAGCAAGTTGACACTGGGTGGCTGTGAGCATGCCACTGCACTCCAGCTTGGGCGATGGAGTGAGACTCCAACTCAAAAAAAAAAAAAAAAATGAAGGTCAGAGGATAGATTTCGGTAGAGAAGAAAACCAGTCCTTTTGAAGTAGATGCAAAAACAAGCTTGAATGAGAGGAGGATATGCTCGGAGAGCTGAAGTACTGATGTTTTGGGTGAAGTGGTTTCAGACAACACCTAGGTCCAGTGTATGATGGAGGAGTGGAGGACTAGACAAGTCAGGAGCAGAGAGATGAGGTCGTGGAACTGAGAAGCCAGAGTGGTTAGTGGGCTGCCCAGGAAAGGCTGAAGTCAACCAAGAGGGCTGAGAACCTGGGGCAGAGCCAGGTTCCAATGAGGGAATAGTGATTTTTTTTTCCCTAATAAGATCCTGATCTGTTCAGGTCTTTGTCCTGTTTGGAACCCTTTAGTCCCATGGATAAACCTAAAGGCAGGCCAATAGAGATCATCCAAAGTAAAGCACAGAGGGGAAAAAGACTGAAATTAAACAAACAGACTCTCAACGACCTGCAGAACAGAATTGAGAGGTCTAGTATACATACTTGAAGTTCTAGAAGAAGAAAAGAGAGAAAAAAGGACAAAAGGAATAAACAGTTAAAGATATGCTGGCAGGAAAGTTTCCAAATTTGATCAAAAACATCAACCCACAGATTCTGTCAGCTTAATGAATCCCAAGCAGGATAAATATAAAAATGACACTCAAGTACTTTAGAATCAAATTGTTGAAAATCACACAAAAAGACTTAAAGAAAGACAGAGGAAAAAGACATTTTATATAGAGAGGATCAAAAGAGGCTTCTCATCAGACAACAGATGCCAGGAGAGACTGGGATGACGTTTTCAAAGTGCTAACAAAAAACATAACACACTATCAACAAAGAATTCTTTTCCAGAGAAAATATCTTTCCCTGGATACAAAATAAAGGCAAATTAAAGCATTTTCAAATAATGAAAGTGGAGAGAACTTGTTGCCAGCAGACCCACATACAAGAAATAGTCATGGAAGATCTCTTTAGGCTGAAGGGGAGTGATATGAGACATAAATTCATACACACAGAAAAAAAGGAAGAGCACCAGAGATTATAAACATGTAAATAAATAAAAAGGCTTTTTCTTTCTTATATTCTTTTTTTCTTTTGGAGTTGGAGTTTCACTCCATCACCCAAACTGGAGTACAGTGGCACACTCATGGCCACCCCAAGGGTCAACCCGCTGGGCTCAGGCGATTCTTCTGCCTCAGCCTTCCAAGTAGCTGGAACTACAGGCACCCACTACCACGCCCGGCTAATTATTCATTTATTTATTTATTTATTGTAGAGATGAGGTCTCGTCAAGTTGCCCAGGCTGGTCTCAAACCTGTGGGCTCAGGTAATCCTCTCATCTCAGCTTCCCAAAGTACTGGAATTACAGGCTTGAGCCACTGCAGCTGGTCTCTTATATTCTTTAAATGTCACTTGCCTGCTGCTATCTATGGTTTGAATGTGTCTCCTGTGACAGTATTAGTGGTGGGGCTGTGAAGAGTTGATTAGACTACTGTTGCTTCTCTCTCTTTGACAGCCTAATGGGATTGACAGTCTTTATAAAAAAAGCTTCATGTTTGATGGATATCCCGATTACCCTGACTTAGTCATCAAACATTGTATGGTTGTCTCAAAATATCCATGTACTCCGTAAATATGTACAAATTATTTCCATAAAAAAGATAAAAATGTTTTAAAAGATAAAAGAGGGCCAGGCTCAGTGGCTCAGCCTGTAATCCCAGCATTTTGGGAGGCTGAGACAAGTGGATAACCTGAGCCCATGGTTTGAGACCAGTTGGGGCAACTTGGCAAGACCCCGTCTCTATAATAAATAAAAAATTAGCCGGGTGTGGTAACACGTGCCTGTAGTTCCAGCTACTTGGAAGGCTGAGGCAAAAGAATTGCCAGCGCTCAGCAAGTCAACACTGGGGTAGCCATGAGTGTGCCACTGCACTCCAGCCTGGGTGACAGGGTAAGATTTCAAATTAAAAGAAAAAAGATAAAAGAGGCTTCATGCAGCATGAAAGCTAGCTTGCCCCTCAGTCTTTTGCCATGGAGGCTGGAGCAAGAAGGCCCTCGTCGGACCAAATGCCAGCACCTTAACCTTGAACTTTCTAGCCTCCCGAACTGTGAGACAATAAATTTATCTTCTTTATGAATTACCCAGACTCAGGTATATAGCCTCAGGTTATAACAGCACAAAATGGTCTAAGGCAACTGTTAAAACAAAAATAACAACATGTAGCACAGCAGCCCAAGTCTGTAGTTCTAGCAACTCAGGATGTTGAAGTATGAGGGCTGCTTGAGCTCAGGAGCTTGAGGCCAGCCTGGGCAACTGAGCAAGATCCCATCTCAAATAATCATAATCATCATAATCATAATCATAACAATAAAATAACAATAACATATTATGAATTCTATAACATATGTAGGAGTAAACTATATGGTAACAATACCACAAAGGCTGGCAGAAGATGTTAATTGAACTATAGTGTTATAAGAATCTCACAACATAAAGGCTGGGTGCAGTGGCTCATGCCTGTAATCCCAGCACTTTGGGAGGCCAAAGTGGAAGGAATGCTTTAGCCCAAGAGTTCAAGAGCAGCCTAGGCAACACAGTGAGACCTCATCTCTCACAAAAAATTTAAAAAATTAGTTAGGCATAGTGGCACACACCTGCAGTCCCAGTTACTCAGGAGGCTGAGATAGAAGGATCATCTGAATCCAGGAGATGAGGCTGCGGTGAGCAGTGACGATGCCTCTGTACTCCAGCCTGGATGACAGAGTGAGATCCCAACTCAAAAAATAAAAATAAAAAAGAATCTCACAACATAAGAAGTGGTATGATATTAATCAAAGTAGACTGATAAGTTAAGGATACAATCATTTACATAACATACACACACACATACACACACACACATATAAAAAGCCAAAAGAGGATAAAGAACCAAATGTAAAAAAATACTCAAGTAATCCAAGAAAAGTCAGAAAAAGAGAAAAAAAGACAAAAAAATCCCTAGAAGACTAATAGAAAGCAGACAGCAAGATGATCAATATCACCAAATAATTGCATAAGAGGTAAAGAAGCAGAGACCACAGTTAAAAGGGAGAGATGGCCAAGCTTGGTGGCTCAGCCTATAATCCCAGCACTTCAGGAGGCCTAAGCAAGTGGATTGCCTGAGCCTGAGGGTTCGAGACCAGCCCAGGCAACTTGGCGAGACTTCTTCTCTACAATAAATCAAAAATTAGCTGGGCTTAGTAATACATGCCTATAGTTCCGGCTATTGGGAAGGCTGAGGCAGAAGGATCGCCAGAGCCCAGCCAGTCGACACTGGGGTGGCCGTGAGTGTGCCACTGCACTCCAACCTGGGTGACAAAATGAGACTCCAACTCAAAAAAAAAAAATTATACAGGCCAGCTTGCTGGGGCTCCCACTAGCCAAAGCTAGGACAATCTGGCATCAAATGATTAAGTACAGAAATGAATTATAAACCATTAAAAGAGGAACTTACGTACCCATACTGATAGAGAGGGTGAGGAGGGGAAAAGGAGGAAGCAAGGAGAAAGAGAAGAGGGGCTCTTGCCTCCAGCAGAATGTCAGATGCTGACAAGCAAATGGAGAGGGCAGGCTAGAGCTGGAAAATCATCAAGGTCAAGACTGTGTCAGGCGTGGATTTTCAGAGGATAAGAAGATACTTGTGTGGTCTTAAGGATCTCCCCACAGCCGGTTTATTACTTGCAAGGGAGAAAATCATTAATTATACAGTGAGCCTCTTTTTAGTCTGACTATGCCTCTGGATTAATCTAATCACATCAACAATTATATAAATATTAATAATTAGATGTTCATTGTGGCAAAACCTGCTCTCTTGTGGTCATCTACACACTGGTTATCTTAAGCATAGATTATCTACAATCTCAAGCAATTCCTTGTCCCTACCAAAATAACATATTCTAAGGACCCATAACTAACCCTAAACAGAGTCTTAAATCTACTGAAAAATTAATGTATCAGGCAACCTCCTTGGGTCCTCTCCTGCTCTGGGAGCTTTTCTGTTCTCTCAATAAATCCTGCTTTCCCCCCCCAAAAAAAATATATGAGGGGTAGAGGTGGGAGCACAAAGACTGAATAAAACATACTCCGTATATAAAGATGTTACCTGAGCGAACTATAGTAGAATGAAGATGTTCATTCAAAGCCATGTTCCCAATGATGCGCATTATATTCCTCTGTACTTTAGGACAGTTCTTGTGAAGTTGGTACAGCCTCTGCAGCAGTTGCAAGCCTCCATTTGCTTCGATTTTATCACAATGTGTGGGTATCTAGCACAATAAATGAACGAGAGCTCACTTTATGTTGTACAAATTCACTACATGAGATGAGAAGTATGGTGATGGGGACTGAGACGTAGGGAGACTACTCAAAGCTCTCATCTCAGCTTATTTAAATAAATAAGCAAATCCCTACCTAGGTGGGAAGTGCTTCAAAATCACTGAAAAAAAAAATCCCAAGACTGTTTCAAGGCACATTTCAAGGCACGTCTGTCTCACCAGGTCTTCTAAAATTGGTATTCTGATTCCACTTAGCTCTTGGTTGGGTGTAAACTGACAATGTTATTATTACAAATTGTTTCAATTTATAGTGAAATGGTTCTCTATTCTGGACAAAGTTGTCATCTGCTAACATTAAATCGCCCTCTGTCCAAGAAGCAGATTCTGCTTGAGCCGAAAAAGGAGTCACCCAGGTAGAGACAAGTGACCTCTGGCCCCCCCATCCCCCCCAACACCCACAGCTGTGGTGGGGCCTCACACGCAGAAGCTGGGAAAATCTTTTAAAGAGAAAGATCAGTAAAAATAAAGAAAAAGGGATTTGAATTTTTAATAGAGAAAAGAAATAAAAGAAAAAGAAAACAAAAGGAAATACACACATTAAGGTAAAAGAGAATTAACCGACAAGTCAGTCTTAAGGTCACCCAGTCCTAGTTTTACTCACTGACATGACATCAAGTCCTGAGTATATGACAACTTTCATTTTCCAAATTTGTATTAGATTTTAATCCATTAGATTTTAATCCATTAAAATGGATACCTTTTAGACATACCACAGATCTAGTGAGTCCTGTAATAACGTGAAGGATTTCAGCAAAGGGAACGATTCTATTGCATGCACGCCGCACTTGCTGCTGAAGATGCTTCAATTGCTTCAGACACCACTCAGAACCCACAGAATCTGGGCACATTCTCCCCTACCACCTTTTGTATTACAACACTTCATTCACTCTGCTGTCTGCTTGGTTCCTCGTACCATGGGTGAAAGCTTAAGACTAAAACCATCATGCTCTTAAGCCATGTCTGATGGTTCCCAAAATTGAACTGGAGAGTTGAGAATCTAGGATGCTAGTGTTTCTCCTGACGTGGGATGGACCACTTGACCACTTGCAATCCTTTCAACTGGAATGCCGGCTACTAATGCAAATCTTGGACTTCACATCAAATCTGCTAAACTACATTTGCTGGAGGAGCAGGAAATGTGTATCTTCAACATGCTCACACATGCACTATGTGTGAGCATGTGTGCTTTTTAAAATTAAACTGTCATTGTGATAGAAAAGTTTCCACAATACTAAAAAGTTTTAAAATCATTGATATATGCTACAGTTATAAGTCAAGAGTATGATCATCTAATATTCCTTATTGTTTTTTATCTTGCCATATCTTTGATAGTTGTTTTAATGGAAATTAACTACCTGAAAATATTATATGAAAAATGATTTGAGAAAGGAAGTAGAAACAGCATAACTCAAAAACTCAAAACAATTAATATTAAATTCATTTTTAGTTATACTTAGCAAAAATGAAACTCATGTATTGGTGCTAAATGATTATTAATTCTAACAACTAAAATGGTAAAAAAGCAAAAAGTTAAAAACAAGTGAAAAGCTTTTTTTCCTTTTCTAATTAGTAATGATTATTTCCCCTGCATAAGCCAACATGTATAATTTTTTCAATATAATCATAAAAAGTAAACCACATTTTGAAAATGTGAGTTACCTCAGAATGCTTTACTATAGCTTCTAAACAGAACATTTCCACTGTAGCCGAAGGAACTTCTCCAAAACTTTCAGCATAAGGAAGTCCATTTCCTCCAAAACACCATAAACCACCCTGAAATTAAAATAATTAAAATTTTTACTGAAAAAAGATGAGCAATATTTTTGTTTGACAAGAAAATCTCTGCCTACATATGGTATTAGAAAATACTAATATGTAGGGACTCAAAATACTCTGGAAATTTCAAGAGAACTTTATGCACATTATTACTTATCAGAATAGAAAATATGCAGAATTATTTCTAGAAGAGAGCAATCTTTCCATCTTTCTCAGTTCTCTCTTCTGTGTCCTCTTATCTGAAAGCCTGAAGACTAACACACAATTCTTTACCAAGTAAGAAAAGTCCAAGGTTGATCAAAATGCTGTAGTGTCATCTCTTTCAGTCTCTGGTAGTTAGTACAGTATATTATTTTCCATATTATGCTGACAGTTTACTTAAAGACTAATAATCAAAATAATAAAAAAGCATTATTGGACAAAAAAATAAAGACCATGATGAAAATAAGCACAGGGATTTTAATTCTTCCCAAGTTGAAATTCAAGTTCACATGGAAGAATCAAAAATAGTTATGAATATTATAAAATGAAAGAGAAGTGGGAACTATTCCTAACAGATATTAAAATATAAAGGATAAAATAGGAAAAAATTCAACTCTTACCACAGATCAAAGGCTAATGCTAGTAGCATGTAATAATCTCCTACAAATCAGTGACAAAAATACCAACAATACTATAGAAATATGAACAGGTTGGCCAGGGATGGTGGGTCATGTCTGTAACCCCAGCACTTTGGGAGGCCAAGGTGGGAGAATTGCTTGAAGCCAGGAGTTTGAGACCAGCCTGGGCAACATAGCGAGATCTCATCTCTACAAAAAAATTAGACAGGCATGGTGGTGTACACCTGTAGTCCCAACTACTTGGCAGGCTGAGGCAGAAAGATCGCCTGAGCCCACGAGGTTGAGGCTATGGTGAGCCGTGATCATGCCACTGCACTCCAGCCTGGACAACAGGGTGGGACTCCGACTCGAAAAAGAAACATGAACAAATCATAAAGAGGAAGTGCATAGGAAAATAAATGTGTCTCTAAATCCATAAAATGACACTCAACACTGCTCACAGTAGAGGCATACACATTGAAACTACATTGAGAAACTACATTTTTAATTTATCAGACAGGCGAGGTTCTGAGAAACAGACATTCATGGCACCCTGCCACCGGTAATGTCAATTTGTTTTTTTTTGTTTTTTTTGAGTTGGAGTCTCACTCTGTTGCCCAGACTGGAGTGCAGCGGCCTCGACCTGCTGGGCTCCGGCGATCCTTCCACCTCAGCCTTCCAAGTAGCCGGAATTACAGGCATGTGCTACCACGGCCGGCTGATTTTTTTATTTATTGTAGAGATGAGGTCTCGTTGCTCAGGTGGGTCTCAAACCCGCGGGCTCAGGCAATCCACTCACCTCAGCCTCCCAAATGTGCGGGATTACAGGCTGAGCCACCAAGCCCGGCTGGTAATGTCAATTTGTATCAGCTACCAAAATTACAAGTACCTATACCCTTTAATAATTTATCCTACAGAGACACTCATACATAGGGAAAGTGACACATACATGAGTTTGTTCACTGCAGCATTGATTATAATACCAAAAGACTGAAACCACCCAATATTCATTGATGGGGGTCAAGTAAATAAAATATGGTACAGTTGTACAACAGAATGCTATGTAGATCTAAAAATTTTTAGTCGCTTCCTATGTTGTTATATACCAACCCCAAGACAAATCTTTAAGTGAGAAAATGGTGTAGACCAGTTTGTATGTATCTTATGCTACTATTTGTGCAGAAATGTGTGTGTTTGTGGTGTGTGTGTGTGTGTGTGTATGCAAATGCACATGCATTTGGGTCCCAGGGTAGCGGAGACTGAAGGGATGAAAAGATGATGCATGACTGTAGATGCTTTTGAAGTGGTTCACTTCCAAGTTAGGGGCCACAACTGTGTATACACAGACCACTTGCTGGCCAGAGAAGATAACTACAAGGTAATGTCTTTCAAGAATGTATATATAAAGCCCAGAGTTTTCTATAGGAAATATAATCCATAAGGTTGTACACTGTGAATTTGTATAGTCCATGGTTCAGTGAGACAACCAAAGGCGAAAAATAATTTTTGGACCCTCCACAGTTTTTATTCATACTTCCTTCTCTGATATAATATTTTGTTTAAACCTGCTTGGATCTCAAAGATTCATGCTATTTAAATTAAGGATTGAGAAGGAACTAACTCATTAAAAGTCATTTCCTTCTCTGGCAGAAATGATGGTAAATAGTGGACTGGTGAACTTTGGGGGATGGGAAATTTTCCTTAAATATTTATCACTACGACCTGGCTCCCTCAAGCCCCTCTTCCCACCTAGTACCCTAGATCATCTGACTTCTTTCTGTGCTAAATACACTAAGGAATGAGAAGACAAGGCAAAGAAAAATGATCTAGACTTCTAGTTTTTCTTGATCATTTGGTGTGGGAGCTAAGCGTGCAGTTCCAATTCCATCCTTGTTGTTGGCAAAGCTTGCTACTCAAGAACTGGCAGAGGGTGTGACAGTAAAAAGTACAAGCAAAAGGGAATGAATACAAAGGTATAAACTCACGAAGTGTGGAACGGATTATATTCTAAACCCTAACATAAAAATAAATGTTCACAATGACTGTTGCTTTATCATTGGATTAAGAAATAACAACCAGGCTCGGTGGCTCAGCCTGTAATCCCGCGCCTTTGGGAGGCTGAGGTGAGTGGATTGCCTGAGCCCACGGGTTCGAGACCCGTTCAGGCAACTTGGGGAGACCTCATCTCTACAATAAATCAAAAAATTAGCCAGGCGTGGTGGCGTGCACCTGTAATTCCAGCTACTCGGAAGGCTGAGGCGGACCTAGCAGGTCCAGTCTGGGCGACAAAGTGAGACTCCAACTTAAAAAAATAAAATAAAATAAAGAAATAACAAAGCCGGGCTCAGTGGCTCAACCTGTAATCCCGCACTTTGGGAGGCTGAGGTGAGTGGATTGCCTGAGCCCACAGGTTCGAGACCCGCCTGGGCAACTTGGCGAGACCTCATCTCTACAATAAATCAAAAAATTAGCCGGGCATGGTAGAGCGTGCCTGTAGTTGTGGCTACTTGAAAGGCTGAAGCAGAAGGATCGCTGGAGCCCAGCAGATCGAGGCTGCTGTGGCTGGGAGCGTGCCACAGCACTCCAGTCTGGGTGACAGAGTGAGACTCCAACTCAAAAAAAAAAAAAAAAAAAGAAAGAAATAACAAAGTTAACTGAATTCACAAAGACTTAGAAATGCCACACATAAAATTCCGTAAGTGCAACAACAAAAAATTTCTTAAGGAAAAAAGAAATGCATAGGAAAAGTTGAAGCCAGGGGTTGAAGGCCATAGTGTGCCATGATCACAGTCATGAGCAGCCACTTCACTCCAGCCTGGGCAACATAGCAAAACTCCACCTCAAAACAAAACAAACACTTTAGTTTTAAGAAATGGGCAAAGGATTTGAATAGACATTTTTCTAAAGAAGATATGTAAGTGCCAGTGGCACATGAAAAGATGCTCCACATCATTAACATTAAGGAAATACAATCAAAACTAGAATGAAGATACCACTGCACACTCAATGGAATGGTTATAATAAAAGATGGACAATAATGAGTGCTGGTAAGTATGTGAAAAAACTGGAACCCTATACCTTGCTGGTGGGAATAAAAATGGCGGCGCAGCTTCTGTGGAAAACATTTGAAAGTTATTCAAAAAGTTAATCACGGAGTTATCATATGACCTGGCAATTCCACCACTGAGTAAACACATTCAGGAGAATTACAAACACAGATCCTTATAAGAACATGTGCATGAACATGTTACTGTGACTTAACAAGAAATAAATATTTTGGTCTCTGCCCCAGATCTCTCCAGAGTGATAAGAGTGTCTTTCCCTTGCTAATGAAGCACTGGTAACTGGAGGGCCCCTAAATAGCTTCAGGATGGGGCTGGTCACCAGAAAACTAAGGCATGACTAGGGGTTAGGGACTTTTAGCCCCACTCAACAGACTCTGGGGAGGGAGAAGGCTGACGTTTGAGCTGATCACCAATGGCCAACAATGTCATCAATCATGCCAATGCAATGAATTCTCCATGAAAACCCAGAGGACTGGGTTTGGAGAGCTGACCACATGGCTATGTGTGGGGAGTGGTGCACCTGAGAGGACATGAAGGCTCTGCGTCCCTTCCACATACCCTGCTCTATGTATCCCTTCCACTGGCTGCTCACTGTAACCTCTGTCATATCCTTTATAACAAATGGGTAAGCATAAGGAAGGTTCTTCCTGAGTCTGTGAACCATCCTAGCAAATTAATCAAACCCAACAAGGGCGTTGTGGGAATTTTTTATTTATGGCTGGTTGTTAAGAAGCACTGGTCACAACCTGAGGCTTGTGATTGGCATCTGAAGTAGAGGGCAGCCCTGTGGGCCTGAGTCCTTAACCTAGTAGGGTTTCACACTATCTCCAGATAGATAATTAGAATTGATTTGAATCAGATGACACCCAGATGGTGTCCTCTAGAAAACTGCCTAGTGTGCAGGGAAAAACCCTCTACAGATCTGCTGTTAGAAGTGTTATGTTCATTGGTGAAAGAAAGTAGGAAAAATGCTGTATCTTTTTCCTATTCATACAGGACAGCTTATTTTTTTCTAACCTGAAATGTCCACAGAAGCATCATCCATAATAGCCAAAAAAATAGAAACAACCCAAATGTCCATCACTGCTGGATAAATAAAATGCAGCACACCCATACAATGGAATATTATTTGGCCATAAAAAGAAATGAAGTACTGATACATGCTACAATGTGGTTGAACCTTGAAAACATCATGTTCAGTAAAAGAAGTTAGACACAAAAGGTCACCCACTGGATGATTTCATTTATATGAATGTCCAGAATAGGCAAATCCATAGAGAGAAGGAATAGATTAATTGTATCCAGGGGCAAAAGGGAGGGGAATATTGGGAGCAGGGTTTCTTCTGAAGATGGTGAAAATATTCTGGAATTAGATAGTGGTGATAACTGCACAACTCTGTATTAAAACTCAATGAACTGTATATTTTTAAAGGGTTTTATGGTATGTAAATTATATCAATAAAGCTGTTATTTTTTAAAAGCTACTTGAATTGGAAATAAGATTATAAATTTCAGGCCTTTTAAGAGAAAGGTAATTGTTCTGCTCTGTTACTTAGGTGTCTAGGAGTCCTAGGGTCCACCTGTTCAACCTTTGTATAGAACAATATACTATGCATACCTAGTGTCTAGGTTTTAGACTTATTTTCCACTAAGAAGAACCCAGTCTCCTTGTAGGGGCAGCTAAATCTTGTAGGGAAGGAAGAATCAAGAAGAGTCAGGGAGTTCTTACTGTCAGAAAACAAAGGTGCTTTCACAACTACTTGGGAATAGAATTAAGGAGGTCAGGCTAAAGAAAGTTTAGTGGCAGGCAATGGTATTCTGAGCATCAAAAAGAAAACAACCATTCTAATTCACTGGAGCAATTCCAAGATATGGCCCCAAAAGGGGCAATTACATAAGGTAAACTAGAGAAGCCATATCTACTGATGTATCCCTAATTGCTCATAAAAGGGAAAATGAGAAGATAAACCATTCAGTTGGCAAAAGAATATAGAATACACTGAGTTGTTTTACTGATAAAATACTTTCCCCTCATTGAGCAGATTATACAGTTACTGCAGTAAAAGTGATGGTTATTTGTATCGATTTTTCTTAAAGAGATAAGATTTTATAAAGATAAAAAATGTACTGAGATGTCACCCCAGGAATACTAGAATTCAGGAACAGCCTCTGGCAGGCCTAGGCTTCCTAGGACACCATCCTTTGATTCACTCAGAAGCCATCTGGCATGTATTGGGAGTGTTTCACACCAGCATTTAGATCTAGGGGATGGGCCCACAACTAAAACAGCAGGAGGAAGGGAAGCAGGGGAGGGAACCTGGAAATTTCTTTCACAGTGATCATCTGAAGGCCACCTCACTCCAGAGGAGGATAACTTAAGCAGTTGAGCAACCCCTGTGTAGCACTGAGAGCTCTGATGAGACTCTGCCTACAGTCAAGCACAGTCTGCTCTCCAGGCCTGTGGTGGGGTCTCTGTCACTTTTCACACCCTTTGCCACTAAACAAACTTTACATCATGTAACTGCACCTACTGGAAACTTCCTGCTGATCTCAGCACATTCTGGGGGCACCATCTCTGGGTCACCACTGACAGAAATCACCCCTGGGGGCACCATCCCTGCAGGCACCATCCTGAGACACTATCCTTGGGGGGCACTATGCCTGAGGCACCAACCCTAGGGGCACCATCCCTGGGGGCATCACCTCCAGACACCATGCCTAGGGACACTATCCTTGGGTGCAGCCACACTGTAGATAGGGTCTGTCTATGCCTTGAGGATAAACAGCAAAAGGCTTGAATTTAACATGTGATGGGAAGCCATTTGGAGAGCTTTGAGCAGGGGTGTGACTAGATCTGATATTTTTAAAAGAATCATGCCAGCTGCCCTGAGACAATGGAACTGAAGAGGTGGTAAGGAGAGCTCACTGGGTGACCTCACTGAGGGGTAATGGGTTGTGATGAGGAAGCCTTCGGGATCTAGCAAGATGGAGAACCTGGCTTCTACTGACCCTGCCCACCAAAACACGTAGGAATGCTTGACAAAATACAATAACAACTGTCTTAACACATAACCAAGTTCTAAGGAAAACGAAGAAATATAGGGAAACTCCTGAGTGCCAGAACTAAAGGCAGAACACAGAGCAGAAGGGTAAGCAAGGGGTGAGGATGGGAACTGCCAGTGGGCCTCCGCCCCGCCAAAGGGATTTTTATCCCTCACCGTAGCCACTCGGTGGCTACTGTGCCAGTCATGAGATGGAAAGACTGAGGTAGGAAGAGTTTTGTGGAGTGAGGTAGGTTTGACCTGTTTTTTAAGTTTGGGATCCTAGGAGAGACATCAAGTAGCAGGTTAAATAATCAGGTCTAAAGCTTATGTTAGAACATAGGGCTAGAGATATCAGTTCAGGCATCATCAGCATATAGCTGATAGCTAAAACTGCACATTACTGTGCTTTTTTTTTTTTTTTTTTTGAGTTGGAGTCTCACTCTGTTGCCCAGACTGGAGTGCAGTGGCATGCTCCTAGCCACCGCAACCTCAACCTGCTGGGCTCTGGCTATCCTTCCGCCTTAGCCTTCCAGGCAATCCACTCACCTCAGCCTTCCAAAGTGCTGGGATTACAGGCTGAGCCACTGAGCCCGTCTACTATCTATTTTTTTTTTAATAGGCAGGGTCTCATTCTCACTGTCACCGAGGAAGAATTACAGTGATGCAACCTGGAACTCCTGGGCTCAAGCAATCCTCCTTCCCTGGCCTCCCACAGCACTGGGATTACAGTTGTGAGCCTCCATCCCAGCCCTATTCGTTTCTTTAAGATACAGTTTAAGAGTTAAATCCTGTGAAGCTGTAAATGACCTCTTAAACAGAGTGAAGGGCTCTTGAAGTAACCTGATCTCTCCTACACACTCTGACTGCTTATTTCCTTGCCTCCTTGTCATCCTTGACGCCCAGCCCAGGACATGGCACACTACCAGAAGTCAGTATGTTTACTCAGTTACTGAGTGAATGATCATTCTAAGGTTCTAAGTGCTAGTCCCTGGCACAGTATCTTGGAAAGAGCAGGCACTCAAAAATATAAATGAGCTTACCTTCTGGGCAGCTAGACTCTGACTGCTTTCGCTAAGAGCCAAAGACGTAAAATACTGGATACACTCATCTAGCTCTGTTTGTGGTAAAGAAGCCAGCAACTGTCTAAGTTCTTCCTCAGTGGAAGAATCCTGAAATAAAAGGAAAATAATTCTTCATAAATAAACTCAACAACCAAGTACAACCAAAGAAGCAAAGTCAAAACATACATATATATCTCTATATACATACATATTAGCAGAAATAAATTAGTCCTTTCAGTACCGAAACCAGTCACCTACCCAGGTAAATAAACAATTACCTAATCTTGAATCCTTTACTTTCATGTGTTACTTCAAACTGAGAGACCTATTATAAAATGTAACTCTCAAGTTTTGCCCTTGAGTAACATCTTGACATCTTGATTCAAAATTAAGTATAACACCCTTTCTATTGCTTTTAAAATCCAGAACTCACTACTATCTCATTTTCCCTAATAATTAATAAACGGCATATTCATTTTTCTATTTTTCAAAAACTGACTGCTACACAGAAGTTTTCTGAGTTTCATGCTCTAGTCTTGGAAAGGTACTTGAAGCAGCATGTTTTAAATCTATGGCAGTGGTTCTCAGCCAAGGCTGTTTTCCCTCCACTCCCATCAGGAAATATTTAGCAATATCTGGGGACATTTTTTATTGTTACAACTGGGGGTGCTCCCGGCATCTAGGAAGTAGTGTCCAGGGATACTGCTCAGCATCCTACTACACACAGAATAGCCTCCTACAACAGGAATTATTCAGCCCAAAATGTAAAGAGTATTGAGATCAAGAAAACCTGATCTACAGCACACGCTGAAGGGATCAACTCATGGATGACGATATGCTATGAAGTTACCAGCGGTTTACAGAGACTCCCAATCTTCAAAGGCAGAAAAGAACGTAAGAGGAACAGCATCTCCTGAGGAACCAAATCTCTGTATTAAAACTATGATTTCAGTTTTACATTCTCGTTTACCTGCTTGTAAAAAGTAGCCAACAACTATTGTTCGAAAGTGTATTTTAAACCAAAAACAAAGATGATATATTAACCTGTTTTTCACTTTCTGGATTATTCACTTACTTCTTTTAAACATGGCAAAGGAGGAGGTGGTAGAAAAAAGCGGAGATCACTCTCTTTGCTTCGTGCCAAACCAATAAGAGTTCTTGAGTCACAGGCCTGAGCAATTATCCTATACTGGTAATCTATTGGAAAAGTATATCTTCTGTTAATACCCAGATTGGCTTATAGTTGTCACGAGGATTAAATGAACAAACTACCTGAAAGCACTCTAATTTTTTTTTTAAGTCAATTCCATCAGAGAGGAGAAAGGTGATTAGCACTCTAATTTATTTATTTATTTATTTATTCATTCATTCAGTCATTCATTCATTTATGGAGTTGGAGTCTCACTCTGTAGCCCAGGCTGGAGTGCAGTGGCACATTCACGGCCACCGCAGCCTCATCCTGCTGGGCTCAGGAGATCCTTCTGCCTCAGCCTTCCAAGTAGCAGGAACCATAAGCACGTGCCACCATGCCCAGCTAATTTTTTTTTAAATTTATCGTAGAGATGAGGTCTCGCCAAGTTGCCCAGGTTGGTCTCAAACCCCTGGATTCAGGCAATCCTCTCACCTTGGCCTCCCACAGTGCTGGGATTACAGGCTTGAGCCACTGTGCCTGGCAGCACTCTAATTTTTAAACTGCTCTACAAACTGGCAATACAACATTCCTGAAGTGTTTTTTACAAGTGCACCAACATTTTTAATACCTGTATGCTAGATACATTTCCACAACTGCTCTCAGGGCCTCCTCAACATATATTTGGGGACAAAGTTATGGCCTAACTTTTTGGAAAAAATGAAGCTCAAATGTGAAAACTGGTGAATCAAAACCAATTTAACTTATTTTTAAATAACTCCAGCATTCAAAAGCTGTTTTGATCACTACTCAAAACACATGAGGTTGCATTTGAGTCTCCTGTTCTGTGGTGATGGCACAGTGCTTTAGTATTCATGATATCCATGACTATTTAGTCTGAGATTCCAGATGGCAGTGCTTTGAGTTAAACATGCCATTCTTTACGTATCAAAACCAAAATTTTAGCCACAGAAGCAGACATTCTCTTCAATAATGGCAGCTCATAACCTGGGTACTTCAGGATCACATTGCAAACTTTTTCAAAATCTACGTACTAGGCCGCCTCTTCTGATTTCTCTGATTAGTAAGTCTGGAATGGAGCCATGGAAGGCAGATTTTGAAAAATAGTTTTATTCTAAATCTCCACTAACATTAAGTGAGCTTATACTTATATTGTAAATTATTTTAATTGTAGTCATCAACCAACAAATTAACTTGTAGGAAGGCAAAAACTTTACTCTTTTTGAGACAGAATTTCACTCTGTGGTGCTCAGGCTGGAGTGCAGTGACGAGATCCTAGCTCATCACAGCCTCAAACTCCTAGACTCAAGTAATCCTCCTGCCTCAGTCTCCCAAGTAGCTGGGACTATAGCTGCACACCCAGCTAATATTTCTATTTTTTATAGGGACAGGGTCTCACTTTGTTGGCCAAGCTGGTCTCAAACTCCTGTCCTCAAGCAATTCTTCTACTTCAGCCTTCCAAAGTGCTGGGCTTATAGGCGAGAGCCACTGTACCCAGCATAAAGACTTTATTCTGAGATTAAATTTTTCTTTGAGAAAACTATTTTTTTCTGTTGTTTGCCCATTTTTACAAGATGACTCCACTAACAAATTATAGTTTAGTCCAGGCTGAGTATGGTAGCTGAAGCTTCTTCTTAAATTTTTAAAAATACTTTTTACATATATTAAGATCACCTGGGCTGCGTGTGGTGGCTCATGCCTGTAATCCCAGCACTTTGGGAGGTTGAGACTAGAGAATTGCTTGAGCCCAGGAATTTGAGACCAGCCTGAGCAACATAGCAAGACCTTATCTCTACAAAAAAAAAAAAAAATCAGAAAATAAGCTGGGCATGTGTAGTGGCACACACCTGTAGGCCCAGCTACTCAGGAGGCTGAGGCAGAAGGATCGCCTGAGCCCAGGAAGTCGAGAATGCAATGAGCTGTGATTGTGCCACTGCACTCCAGCCTGTAAAACAGAGTGAGACCCTGACTCCAAAAATAAACTAAAATAAAAAAGATTGCCTGAATTCTGTTCCTCCCTCAGTCTCATTCCCTTCCCTTCTCATAAACCAAGAGTTAGCTGGCATGGTGCCACCTGTCCCGCATGGCCTCATTACCACGCCAGTGATGGGCCTCCGACATCTCCTGCACAGCCTCCAGGCGCGCGACAATGTCATTCGACTTGCTCTTCCTCAGGAGCAGCCACACAGCACACTCATGGTCTTCTATGTCAACTGTACTAAAAGGGTCTTTGCAAAAAGAGAAAACAAAATTGGGGCCATATGAACAGTGAAGACAGACAACACTCTTATCCTCACTTTTATAATTAACATGGTAACTTATAAATATCTGAATCCTATAACTGGAGAGTTAAAGCCATACAGGTATTGACCATGACTGACATATTTGTTCACAGTACTATCGCTTTCTTTTATTATGAGTATTATGTGTGTGTTTTTGTTGCATCTTCTGGTGCCTTTCACCATGTAGCCATTTTTTTCTTCTCCCCCCCAACTAACATAACTTTTTATTTTGAAAAAAAATAAAAAATATATGGAAAAATAAAAGAAAGATACATTAACACACATACCTATCACACCTATGTTCAATAACTGTCATTGTTCTGCATAGTTTCTTCATTTATACATATGTGATTTTTTTCTAAGCTATTTGAAAGGAAGTTGCAGACAAAATGACACTTTATTTTCATAGTGCAACCTGCATCTCCTAAGACTAAGCCTGCATTCTCTTATACAATCTCAATGCTATTATCACACCCAAGAACAATAAAAAACTTCTAAAGTTCAGTCTAACTCCATATTCAAGTTTCCCTAATTTGTTCAAAAAATATCTTTAAAGCTATTTTGTAAAACCATGATTTGATAAAGTCTCTTTGAATTCTAGAAAGCTTTATCATATTTTCTTTTTCATGATGCCAACTTTTAAAAGAGATGAGGTTGAATGTTGTCATCACAAGAAATGATGAATGTTTAAAGTAATGACTATGGTAAGACTCCACTTTGTTCATTATCTAGTGTATACATGCATTCATTGTACCATCACACTGTACCCCATAAATGTGTATAATTATTATGTCAATTATAAGTTTAAAAATAATTAATTAGTTGGGCATGGTAGTGCACGCCTGTAGTTCCAGCTACTTGGAAGGTTGATGTGGAAGGATCACCTGAGCCCAGCAGGTCAATGCTGGTGTGGCCTTGAGCGTGCCACTGTACTACAGCCTAGGCAACGGAGTGAGATTCCAACTAAAAAAAAATTAACAAAAATACATCTTCATTTGAAAAATAAAATAAATAAAATAAAAGAGATGAGATAAGCTCTTTTATTTATTTATTTTTTTAGAGAGGTTGGGGGTAGCTCAGCAATCATGGCTCATCGCAGCCTTGACCTTTTGAGCTCAAGTGATCCCCCTACCTCAGTCACGCCAGCAGCTGGGACTACAGAGCATGCTACCATGTCCAGCTAATTTTTTTATTTTTTGTAGAGATGATAATTTTTTTATTTTTTCACTATGTTGCCCAAGCTGTTCTTGAATTCTTGAACTCAAGCAATCCTTCTGCCTCAGGCTCCCAAAGTGCTGGGATTACAAGCATGAGCCACCATGCTTGGCTTGAGGTAAACTCTTTTATAGCTAGCTCCATATTGTAGATTAGTCTAAATGTGAAATCTTTTTTTTTTTTTTTTTAGTTGGAGTCTCCCTCTGTCACCTAGGCTGGAGTGTAGTGGTATGCTCATGGCCACCCCTGTGTCAACCTGCTAGGCTCAGGCAATCCTTCTGCCTCAGTCTTCCGAGTAGCCGGAATTACAGGCGTGCTACCACACCCGGCTGATTTTTGAGAACTATAGGCATGTGTTACTATGCCCAGCTAATTTTTGATTTATTGTAGAGACGAGGTCTTGCCAAGTTGCCTGGGCTGGTCTTGAACCCACGGGCTCAGGCAATCCACTCACCTCAGCCTCCCAAAGTGCTGGGATTGCAGGCTGAGCCACCAAACCCAGCCGAAATCTACATTTTTTGATGTACTACTCTCATTATGAGAAGGCATGGCAGTGGTTTTCTAACAAACATAAAATTAGGAAATATTCATCAAAAGAATAGGGTATATTTCATCTCAGCATTTATTTACCATTATCTAAGGTAGGAAAAAACTGTCCAGAGCATTAAGTCCTTGAAATTGAACATATTCCAAGAGAATAATGTATGCAATTAATTTTCCATAGCTACAAAAAACATTAGTATAGGAAATAAACAAAAAAACCTCAGATTGATCATTCCAATGACTTTCAGATTACTGATAAGGATTCCATGTTAAATATTTGGTACTTACCAGCAAAGGGATTCCGTAACACCTTGGCTGATGTTGCCAATACTTTTCTGACTGCTTTGTGAAGCTCTTTTCTTGCCTGGCAGGCAATCCCTAAAATGATTACAAACTTAAATAAAAACAAGTATGTATTCTTAATGCTGTGCTCCAATATTTCTTTCTTTTTTTTTTTTGAGCTGGAGTCTCACTCTGTCGCCCAGACTGGAGGGCAGTGGCCGCTCCCGGCCACCGCAGCCTCGACCTGCTGGGCTCCGGCAATCCTTCAGCCTCAGCCTTCCGAGTAGCCGGAATTACAGGCGCGCTACCACGCCCGGTTGATTTTTGATTTACTGTAGAGATGAGGTCTTGCCAGGTTGCCCAAGTGGGTCTCGAACCCGTGGGCTCAGGCAATCCACTCACCTCAGCCTTCCAAAGGCGCGGGATTACAGGCTGAGCCACCGAGCACGGCTGTACTCCAATATTTCAAAGAGGAAATGTATAAACTAAACTCCAAATGCTTTCACCAAGAAAATATAAAATAGCATCTTTGGCTGGGTATGGTGGCTCACACCTGTAATCTAAGCACTCTGGGAGGCCCGGGCAGGAGGATAACTTGAGCCTAGGAGTTCGAGACCAGCCTGGGCAACATAGCAAGACCTCATCTTTACAAAAAATACAAATATTTAACACTGTGGTGGCACGTGCCTGTAGTTTAGTTACTCAGGAGGCCGAGGCAAAAGGGTCGCCTGAGCCTAAGAGGTCAAGGCTGTAGTGAGCCATGTTTGTGCTACTGCACTCCAGTCTGAGCAACAGAGTGAGACCTTAACTCAGAAAAAAAAAAATTTAATGGTATCTCTGTCAATTTATTGTCACTATCAATGCAACTAAAGTCTTTATGGGAACACAGAGGTCTAGATTCCAAAGTAAGGTCACTGTTCACATCAGGGAAAAAGTGAAAACACAACAAAATAAAACCACTATCTAACTAAAGCTAGTCACAACCCTCATAGACAACATTAGATTAGCAACATCCAGGCAAATGTCCCTGATGATGAGGCCACCTCAAAATGAAATTTGCAGATAACTTACTATGAGATTAAGCCTCAATGCATAGGCAAATTATAAGCTATAATAATTATCTATGCAATTGAAATTATAAGCACACCATAAAAGCACATTAAAACACAGGTATGTGATATAACAATAAATACCAACAGGATGAAGTAGGGATACACACAGCTCAGAGGGGGAAACAGCCCCACCCATTCAGGGAGCATCATGGGTTAACAGGCACATCCTGGCTGGTGAATAGAAACAGGTGGCTCTAAGTGTGGTGACTAAAAGTTCATGTTCACCAAGCAACCATATGATCACTAATGAGACTTCCATGCACCCTAAATGTTGAGAAGTAGCATGTCCTAACTAGTAAAGACAGGTGTTCCAGCCTTTGTGACAGGGATTTATAATAAATGAGTTGGTATTCATATTTATGAATCCATCTCATGAGTTTAGTTTGCTTGAATAAATCCCTTAAAGCATAAGTGTCCCTGAGCTAAGTAACAAAATCATGTTTTTGTACTTGCCACACTGAGGGCCAGCCTCTAAACTGACAGTCCCACTAAGATGTAGAATTCCAGGCTTGGACTAAAAAAGCCAACATACTTCATTTCATTCAGTTCTAGAAGAGTTGAAAACCTGGGTTAAATACCTAACTCCAAAATTTGGTCTTCAATTAATTCTTTAGGAACTTGGTTCTCACAAGTTTGGTGATTTGTAGAGTTAGCTAAATCTATCTTACCAATACTGTGTTTCAAATAGACTCAATCTTAAATTCAATAGCTAGCTTCTACTTTTCACAAAGATATGATTACTTTGCTAAACTTACCATGATTTTCTCTTTCATCTAATGAAAATGTGTGCACATATATATAGGACTTCATTTTTTCTCTTTCCACCACTTGTGTATCTAATGTCAAAGACTTCTTCAGGGCCAGAACTTCATATGTAAGAAATAAGGAACCTCTGAAAAAGAAACAGAAAGTTCATCATAAACACATGAACTAAATATAACACAAGAGCTACTCTTTCTTATTAAACCTTTCATGGTGAACATCTTTCTTTTTCACTGGAAAATATAACATATATACAGTACTATGCATATAACATACTTACACAATCATGCACCACATAATGATTTTTGGTCAAGGACAGACTTCATATACAATGGTGGTGTCTTAAGAGTATACTGAAGCTGGCCGGGCACGGTCGCTCAAGCCTGCAATCCCAGCACTTTGGGAGGCCAAGGCGAGAGGATTGCCTGGGCCCAGGTGTTCCAGACCAGCCTGGGCAACTTGGCAAGACCTCATCTCTATAATAAATCAAAAAAATTAGCTGGGCATGGTAGTGCACACCTATAGTTCCAGCTACTTGGAAGGCTGAGGCAGAAGGATCGCCGGAGCACAGCAGGTTGACGCTGGGGTGGCCATGAGTGTATCACTGCACTCCACCCTGGGCAATGGGACAAATTCCTACGCCTAGTGATGCAGTAGCCATCTTAATGTCGTGGTGCAACGCATTACTCGTGTGTGTGTGTGTGTGTGTGTGTGTGTGTGTGTGTGTGGTGGTGTAAACAAGACTACTGCACTGCCAGTTGTATAAAAGTACAGCATATACAACTATGTATAGTTTAATGATGAGAATAAATGATGATGTCATTGGTTTGTGAATTTCTAAACTTTTTATTGTTTAGAGTACACTCCTGCTACTTAAAACAAAAACACTGTAAAAGCCTCAGGCAGATCCTGCAGAAGGTACTAGAAGAAAGTATTGTTATCATAGGAGCTGACAGCTCCATGTCACTGTCCCTGAAGACCTTCCAGTGGGACAAGATATGGAGGTGGAAGATGGTGATATTGATGGCCTGACCCTCTGTAAGCATAGGCTACTGTCTTTGTATCTCAGTTTTAAACAAAAATATTTTAAAAATAAATATACAAGGGGGAACTCCAAAAAATGGAATTTGTTTATAAAAAACTGTGTATTTATTCTTACATGTTTAATCTTCAGTCACCTCCGAAGTACTCTCCGTTTGATGCAATATACCTATTGAGACACTTTTTCCACCATTCAAAACAGTTTTTGAACTCATTAATTTTGATGCCTTTTAGTGCTTCTGCCATTTTTTTGTTTCACCTCTTCCACGCTGGCAAAACATTTCCCTTTAAGGGTTTTTTTTCATTCAGGGAAACAAAAAAAAGCTGCTTGGAGCAAGACTGGATGAATAGGGAGGGTAGGGCACATGTGTCATGCCCTTTTTAGTCAAAAACTGCTAAAGCACGATGTGGGCAGGTGCTCCTGTAAATCATTAATTATGGGCAAACGCACTGAAACAATCTCAAAAAAAAAAAAAAAATCACTGAAGCCAAACACAGTCTCTCACAAGAATGCCAGCTGGTACCCTGATGTGAATGGGTTCTTAGAACACTTACCTAGTAGGGGAATCCTGTACAAGGGGCCCACCCTCCAAAAATATAATTCTGGGTTTTTGGTCCCTCCTCACATATATTCACACACATACACACACACATGCACATACGTGTGCATGTGTGTATATATGGGTATTTTTTGTTCATTTGTTTGTTTTTGCTGGGCACAGTGGTAAGGCCTACAGTTCCAAATTGGGAGGCTGAGGTAGAAGCTCCACTTGCACCCTGGAGTTCAAAGCTATAGTGTGCCATGATGGTGCCTGTGAATACCACACTCCAGCCTGGGCAAAACAGTGAGACTCTGTCTCAAAAAAATTTTTTTTGTAATAGGAAAATGTTTATAGAACAAGGATATAAAGAAGGAAAATATTTTTGTATAGCTATATAGTGTGTTATTACAAAAGAGTCAAAGGTTAAAAAATTTTTAAGCTTATAAAGTTAAAAAGTTATAGTAAACTAAGGTCAATTTACTGTTAAAAATTAGGACTTAATTTATTTTTAGAAGCAGGGTCTTGCTATGTTGCCCAGGCTTGCCTCAAATTCCTGAATTCATGTAATCCTCCCGCCTCAGCCTCTTGACTAGCTGGGGCCATAGACATGTACCACCATGCCCAGCTACACTTTATTTATAAGACAATATCTTCTTTATTCAACAATAAATGAACCTAGCTGGGTGTGGTGACATGTGCCTGTTATTCCCAGCTAGTCAGGAGGCTGAGGCAGAAGGATTGCATAAACCTCAGAGTTTAAGGCCAACCTGGACAACACAGTGAGACTCCATCTCTGGAAAAAACATCAACAACAACAAATTAGTGTAGCCTAAGTGTGCAGTGTTTATAAAGTCTACAGTAGTAGACAGTAATGTCTTAGGCCTTCACGTTCATTCACCACTGACTCCCTCACTCACTCACCTGTAGTGACACCCAGTCCTGTAAACTCCATTCAAGGAAAGCGCTCTATACAGGTGGACTATTTTTTATCATTTATACTGTATTTTTACTGTATCTTTTCTTTGTTTATATATATGTTTAGACACACAAATACTTACCATCACGTTATAACTACCTACAATATTCCATGCTGTACAGGTGTATAGCCTAGGAGCAATAGGCTATAGCATATAGCCTGGGTGTGTAGCAGGCTAGACCACTTAGGTTTATGTAAGTTTTCTCTATGGTGTTCACACAATGACACAATCACCTAACAATAAATTTCTCAAACTGTATCCCTGTCATTAAACCACAAACGACTGTATATATATGTGTATATATGTATACATCTCAATTTAATGAAAAACCATAAATAGCTACATAATCATACAAGACAACAAACAGAACATTAAAGGTACCCCAGAAGTCCACTGTGTATCCCTCCCCGATACACATCTGTTCTCTCATTTCTACAGGCAACTATTATTCTGATATTTATCATAATAATGTCCTTACTTTTTTTTTTTTTTACTTTTCATTTTTTGAGTCAGAGTCTCACTCTGCCACCCAGGCTGGAGGGCAGTGGAACGTTCATGGCCACCACAGCCTCGACCTGCTGGGCTCAGGCGATCCTTCCTCCTCAGCCTTCCAAGTAGCTAGAACCACAAGCATGTGCCACTATGCCCAGCTAATTTTTTTTTTTTATTGTAGAGATGAGGTCTCGCCAAGTTGCCCAGGCTGGTCTTGAATCCATGGGCTCAGGCAATTCTCTCACTTTGGCCTCCCAAAGTGCTGGGATTAGAGGCATGAGCCACCACACTTGGCGCCTTACTTTTCTTTAAAGTTTGACTACATATATGCATCCTTAAACAACAGAGCTTAGTTCTGCCTATTTTTGAGATTCATAGGAGTGGAATCACACTCTATGGATTATTTTGTTCAGCCTTGTGTTTGTGGGATTCATCCGTGCTGTTGCAAGTAAATATGGTTCCTATATTTATGTTTTCATATTATGCAGCTCACCCACTGTATGGGTCTTCCACACTTATTCATTCACTCGCTCATAGAATATAGTGAAAATTTAGGGCATTTCTAGTTTGAGTCTATTACAAACTTTGCTGTTATACATCTTATACATCTCTATTGTGTCTACATGTATATACTTCTCAAGGGTACATATCTAGAAGTAGGATTACACAATTTCAGACAGTACGAATATTGTTCAGCTTTACTTGCTAATGTCAAACTTTTTCCAAAAAGATTAGCCAGTGTGTACTCCATTACCAGCACAAGAAAGTTTCTCCTTTTCTAAGAGCAATACATAAAGTTAATTGCTAAATGTTCTTTGTTGTCCATACCAACATGAAGATTTTTTTTCTAATCAGATTGATTTACACACTTCCTAAATCCAGACACAAAGACTGCACTCCGTCTGGATTCAGAGCTTAGCCGTATTGTTATGCTATACCTTTTCTTGACCTTTGGTTTCTACCCTAAAGGAAGTAGGTGAGACAGAAAGTTCAACCACTGGCCAGAAACCAACGAACACAGAAAATCCTCTGCTACAGAAAATGCTATAGAATCCTCTGCATTCTTCTTGATTTATCTTAACAGCCAAAGGGAGCAGATGTATTCTGTACTTTTATCATGTTTTCCACGAAAGTCAAAATTCTATTTTTTTTTTTTTTAGTTGGAGTCTCACTCTGTCGCCCAGGCTGCAGGGTAGTGGCATACTCATGGCCACCCCAGTGTTGACCTGCTGAGCTCTGGCGATCCTTCTGCCTCAGCCTTCCAAGTAGCCGGAACTTCAGGCGCAGCGTGCTATCATGCCCAGCTAATTTTTGATTTATTGTAGAGACGAGGTCTTGCCAAGTTGCCAGGGCTGGTCTCGAACCTGTGGGCTCAGGCAATCCACTCACCTCGGCTTCCCAAAGTGCTGAGATTACAGGCTAAGCCACTGAGCCCAGCCAAAAGTCAAAATTCTTTACAAAAAATTGTGATTAATTTTCACTATATTCCTGAATATAACTGTGATCTAGTCAAACTGCATTACAGAAAAGGGTATATGTAAATTTATCCTCTGCCCAGAATGAGTCAAAGGGAAAAATCAACTAAATATGTTTTGCCTTACGTTACAATGGAGAAATGTATGCATCTGGCTAAAATGCCAAATATATCTTCTTTATCATTTTATAATCTAAGAGCTAATTTTATCTTTTTTTTTCAGCTTTTTAAAAATTATTTTTATTTTAAAGATGTGTGGTATATGGCCGGGCTCAGTGGCTCAGCCTGTAATCCCAGCGCTTTGGGAGGCCAAGGTGAGTGGACTGCCTGACCCCACGGGTTCAAGACCCGCCCGGGCAACTTAGCAAGACCTCATCTCTACAATAAATCAAAAATTAGTCAGGCATGGTAGCGCGTGCCTGTAGTCCCAGCTACTTGGAAGGCTGAGGCAGAAGGATCGCCGGAGCCCAGCAGGTCGAGGTTGCGGTGGCCGGGAGCGTGCCACTGTACTCCAGTCTGGGCAACAGAGTGAGACTCCAACTCAAGAAAAAAAAAAATGATGTGTGATACAATTCAGGGTTAGGTATACAAATGTTGAATATTCAGGTACCCTTGTTGATGAGGTGTGCCTTCCCCCTCCCCCAGCAGATTCCCACTATGATTTTATCTTTGTACTAGTGAGAAAAGTATTAACAAATACAGCAGGGCCGGGATCGGTGGCTCAGCCTGTAATCCCAGCACTTTGGGAGTCCAAGGGGAGTGGGTTGCCTGAGCCCGCAGGTTTGAGACCAACCCAGGCAACTTGGCGAGACCCCATCTCTACAATAAATCAAAAATTAGCCAGGTGTGGTAGCAGGCACCTGTAGTTCTGGCTACTTGGAAGGCTGAGGTGGAAGGATCGCTGGAGCCCAGCAGGTCAATGCTGGGGGGTGGCTGTGAGTATGTCACTGCCCTCCAGCCTGGGCAACAGAGTAAGACTCCAACTCAAAACAAACAAACAAGCAAACAAAAACCAAATACAGCAGAGTGGCACTTAAGCTTATCCCCCTCCCCCACCGCCAAAAAAAGAAAAGTGAAAAAAGAGAATGAAAATGGCAATTTGCAGAAAGAGGATCAGTCCACTCACTTTGCATGCACCTCTGAGGAGCATAAGATGGAAGACATCAGCCTGACGGTTTTCTCGGTCAGCCTCAATTTCCTTTCATGACAGCTTTATGGTGATTTAAGGGATTTTCAAAAGTAAGTTTGACTGTCATCGATTTTGTCCTCCTTCGCGCAGTCTAGAACCCAACCCAACATGTGACTAGTGCGTAAAAGCTAAGTGGTGCCTGCAGTGTATGCGCAGGGCTCATCCCCCAACAGCGTGCCAGGTAGGCAGGATCCAAGTGCACACGTGGCTCCAAGAGAAGACATCCTCAGAAGGTGAAGAAACCAGACCAGAACAGCACCCGAGTGGCCATCACATCCACCCGTCTAACTCCAACATCTACACCATTGACTACCCCATGCCACCTGTCCATCACTTCCACTGAGATTTCAAAGTAGTAGTAGTAGATTTCGTTATAGTAGTATAACGAAGTCAAGTAATGGTTCACAGTTGACAACTTACCCTAAAATAAGGGATCCAGTAAACTTTATTATATTTCCTTAAAAAAAAAAAAAAAAAAAGAAAAAGTCAATGTGATGAATTTCATTTTTAAAAGTGTGGCAGGAAATAGGTAACAGTGTAAGTCTCTGTATCATATATTATCAGGTAAGAAACTATTGATATTTTTCTATAACTATAATCAGTTGCTATCAGTATATGGCTTCCTACCCTCAGATACAAACAAACAAATCAGTAATCACTGAGCACAAAAATATAATTCCTACTGAGGGCAGTTCCTATCAACCTCCCCTTCCTCCACCTCCAGTTCTTACATCCCCCACCACCAAGTCCCTGGAGACCCTAGTCCCTGTCCCACAACTGTCATGTGGCTAGCACTACACTGCTTCCACCGAAAGCTGGTTCTAGGCAGCTCACTTCCCTTCTGATTCCTTTAGTTGACAACCGATTATATAAAGGGATGGGGAGAGCTCTTCCCATCACTTCCAGGACTATACTGAGGGGTTTTGTTGTCAAGTGGTGACATGAAATGCCGTTTCCCTAAGTAATCATGTTATAATTGGTAGCTAAGTGTTGTATGTGGGTAGCCTGATTCAAAATACAGAATACATTCTATAAGTTTATTTATAAATTTTTGTTTGCAACTTTAAAAACATTTTTTTTTTTTTTTTGAGTTGGAGTCTCACTCTGTCATCCAGACTGGAGTGCAGTGGCCGCTTCTGGCCACCGCAGCCTCAACCTGCTGGGCTCCGGCGATCCTTCCGCCTCAGCCTTCCAAGTAGCTGAAACTACAGGCGCGCGCTACCATGCCTGGCTAATTTTTTGATTTGTTATAGAGATGAGGTCTCGTCAAGTTGCCCAGGTGAGTCTCGAACCCATGGGCTCAGGCAATCCACTCACCTTGGCCTCCCAAAGTTCTGGGATTACAGGCTGAGCCACCGAGCCCGGCCTTAAAAACATTTTTTAACAGTAAAAAAAATTCAGCTGGGCACAGTGGCTCACACCTATATCCTGGTATCCTGGAAGTCTAAGGCAGGTAAATTGCTTGAGTTCAGGAGTTTGAAACCAATCTGGGCAACATAGCAAGACCAAATTCTACAAAAAATAAAAAACTTAGCCAGGCATGATGGCACATGCTTGTAGTCCTAGTTACTTGGGAGGCTGAGGTGGGAGGATCACTTGAGCCCAAGAGCTTGAGATGGGAGGATTACTTCTGCCCAAGAGTTTGAGGTTACAGTGAGCTATGATTCTGCCATTACACTCCAGCCTGGGTGACAGAGCAAGATCCTGTCTCTTAAAAACAAATAAGCAGGCCAGACTCAGTGGCTCAGCCTGTAATCCCAGCACTTTCGGAGGCTGAGGCGAATGAATTGCCTGAGCCCGCAAGACCAACTGGGCAACTTGGCGAGACCTCATCTCTACAACAAATCAAACAAATTAGCTGGGTGTGGTAGCATGCACTTGTAGTCCCAGCTATTTGGAAGGCTGACGCAGAAGGATCACCAGAGCCCAGTAGGTTGACGCTGGGATTGCTGTAACTATGCCACTGCAGTCCAGTCTGGCAACAGAGTGAGACTCTGACTCAAAAAAACCAAAAACAAACTATATACACACAAACACAAACACACACACACAAACACACACACACACACACACACACACACATATATATAAATAAATGTACACATACACATACATACATAAAACATTTTTTAAAATCCTACTGGCAGACACTGTCAGTTGCCTATCCAATACACATGCCTCTTAATCCTCACTAGCACAGCCTAATTACCACCTAAAAACATTAAAATCCCTAGATAACTCTGCAGCTAGGGTTAACTGTGCAAAACAGCTGTAGTCAATCAGGTATAGATGGACATTCATAGGGAGGAATCCCACCCCAAATAAAAAAAGCAAAGCCTCATAAGATAATTTTTGGCCCTCTGCGTTCTTGATGTCCAGGGATTCAGCAACCATCATGTGACTATGAGGACAATAAAGACAATGGAGCAAGAAGATAAGAAGATTACTAAGCTGCAATTCCTGCCCTTAACTATGTCTTTTTAATCTTTTTTTTTTTTTTTTAGAGACTGGGTCTCATTATGTTGCCCAGACTGCTCTTGAACTCTTGGCCTCAAACGATCCTCCCAAAGTGCTAGAATTGCAGGTGGGAGCCACTATGCTCAGTCAATTGTCTTTATCATGACTTATTATGTAAAAAGAATAAAAACCTTACTAGCACAGGCCACTGCAATCAAGTTTCTGTTGCATGCACTGAGCACAACATTAACTGACATATTACCCATGATGATTAGGTACTAGGGCCAGCCCACAAAATCTATATTTAACCCATAATTATCGGATATATAAAAGCAGTCCTTTGTTCAGAGTTTCAGCTTACGCTGCCAAGAAGATATTTGTCCCTAATTATCTTTTTGTATTTAAAATACAGAATCAGGATTTTCTAAATGAAAAGGATCTGTCTTAAAAACAGATCTGTCTTCAAGATCAAAAAGAAGTCATGTAAGTGGCTCAAGCCTGTAATCCCAGCACTTTGGGAGGCTGAGGCGATAGGATTACCTGAGCTCAGGAGTTCGAGACCAGCCTGGGCAACTTGGTGAGATCTCATCTCTACAATAAATCAAAAAATTAGCCGGGCATGGTGGCACATGCCTGTAGTTCCAGCTACTTGGAAGGCCGAGGTGGAAGGATCACCTGAGCCCAGCAGGTCCAGGCTGTGGTGGCCATGAGTGTGCCACTACACTCCAGCATAGGCGACAGAGTGAGACTCTGACTCAAAAAAAAATCAAAAAGAAACTTCATAAGGACATGGACTTAATATTGTCTCCTAAAGGCCTATAATAGTACTTGGCACATAGTAGATGGTCAGTAAATGCTTTTATTTATTGTCAAATGAATAAAAGATGATCGAAGTCAATCAGATTTATTTTACAAATAAAAGAAGTAATCCTCAAAGAGAGTAAGTATTTCATTCTTTCATTCCACAAATACTATTTGACCACCTATTATATACCATGTATAATAATAAAAGATAGCCGGGTTCAGTGGCTCAGCCTGTAATCCCGCGCCTTTGGGAGGCTGAGGTGAGTGGATTGCCTGAGCCCGTGGGTTCGAGACCCGCCTGGGCAGCGAGACCTCATCTCTACAATAAATCAAAAAATCAGCCGGGCATGGTAGCGTGCACCTGTAATTCCAGCTACTTGGAAGGCTGAGGCGGAAGGACTGCCGGAGCCCAGCAGGTTGAGGCTGCGGTGGCCGGGAACGGCCACTGCACTCCAGTCTGGATGACAGAGTGAAACTCCAACTCAAAAAAAATAAAAAATAAATAATAAAAGATATCTATGATATAATGGTAAACAAGACAAAACACTGCCCTCACAGAGTTTACAGCATATGGGGGAAGTCAGATAATTAACCAAGATCTATATTGACTCTGTGAACTGATGAGTGACAGATCTAATGTGGCCTAGGGCATCAGGGAAAGCTTTCCAGAGGAAAGCAAGGCTCCAGCGTGGCAAGTAGATCAGACACACAGCTCAGGCCCCAGCAGGGCAAGGGCCTCGTCTTCCCTCAGCACTAAGATTCCCAGAACCTAAAACAGGAGCTTGGAATCTTGTTTTACAGGAGCTTAACAAATATCTGCTGAATGGGAATAAGGTTATTTTTTAAAGTATTTAGAAGGATGAATATGAAATTTGACTGGAAAAGTAGGGAAGGAAAGGAATTTCCAAGAAAAAGGAGTATGCACGACTCTGGTCCTTCCTATCTGGGGTAGACCATTAGGACAGAAAGACATAAACGAATCTGAGGCTTAATCATGGGTCAAATAAGTTTCTGTGGCCCACCCTGGAAACATAAGCACAATGCTATCATAGTTTCTACAAAAAATGTTGCTGTTTAAGCTGTACTCACTGATATCTCTCCAGTAAGTGTCACTTCTGGGCAGGCGAGTAGAGGTTCCTATTCTTCTGCAACAGATGACACAATAAGCAGCCAGGGACATTCTGTGAATGTGAAATAATTATAACAAATTTAATTTAGCATCTAACTCAAAACATTTAACTACAAGAACATGTTACCATCATAGTGGATTGCCCACAGAGTTAGATTTTTCAAGACCAGGAAAAAAGTTTCCAATTAAAAAAAATTTCTCCCTTAAAAACTTAAAACAAGTCACGTGTAGTGCTCACACCTATAATCTCAACACTTTGAGAGGCAGAGGTGAGAGGACTGCCTGAGCCTAAGGGTTAGAGACCAGCCTGGGCAACTTGGCAAGACCCCGACTCAACAATAAATCAACAGATTAGCTGGGCGTGGTGGCTCGTGCTTGTAGTTCCAGCTACTTGGAAGGCTGAAGTGGAAGGATCGCCTGAGCCCAGCAGGTCAAGGCTGCAGTAGCTGTGAGCATGCCCCTGTACTTCAACCTGGGCAACAGAGTGAGACTCCAACTCAAAAAAAAAAACCAAAGCAGACATATTAGAATAATATTTTGCCAGTATCTTAATTATTCTTCTTCAAACTGAGTCCAGTTGTGAAAGCAATTGACAGATAACAGGAATATACAGATTATTAATCAGATACCAATATAGGCATTAAAATATTTTTAATGTCTTTGAAAATAATATACCTACTTATGTGCATATTTATCTCTGATCACTGAAGGTCCTACAGACATGAGAAAAAACTCTACATGGAAGATATACTCAGAATCCACAGAAGTACTTAGCGTTTCTCTAGCTCCTTCTGAATGGTACTCAACATTGTTCTAATTTTTAAAATTTAATGGTTGGCATTTTATCAAAGGAGGACCATAACCCAACTAGTTTATCAACTGAGTAAAGATTATCGAAATATGATGTAAGCACTCCTAGAACAACTCAGTATTCTAGAAGCATATCAGACTGTCTTTGGATAATGAGACTCCACTCTGTTTTTGCTATAAGGGAATAGAAGGAAGGTACCCTGAGGTACCCATGAGGTAACAGCTTTATAGGGATTGGGGGAAATTTCTTGGTGTACATGAGTAAGAAATAACACAAAAAACTTTTAAATTTTTTCTTAATTGTGATTCCATCACATCAACTGGTGACTAAGTAAACTAGGCAACAGGTAAATGCATCAAGTCATTGTATTAAAGGTCTTGTTTCTTATTTGCTCACTTGTCTAATGGGTTGCTGCTATTTCTCTGTGAGACATAGATAAGGGTAAAAATGATATAAGGGGCAACCCACTTTCAGGTCCCCTCCCGCTTGGGAACTTGTTTTGTCTTCTGAATAAAGTCCTGCTTTCTCACCTCTGAAAAAGAAAAAAAAAGGATATAAAGACCATAATGAAGAAGGTACTCACAAAACCAGGGCAGCACTGGTGTGCGGCTCTGTATTTTAGTTACTACACAAAAACTATACTAAAAAACACAGAGCAAACATACCTTCTTTCAACCTGACACCTACTACAAAAGGAGTCAAGTGTAAAACATTATACAGATACCCTTTCATGACCTGCCTGGGCAACTTGGCAAGACCTCATCTCTACAATAAATCAAAAATTAGCCGGGCGTGGTAGCGCACGCCTGTAATTCCAGCTACTCGGAAGGCTGAGGCAGAAGGATCGTTGGGGCCCAGCAGGCGAGGCTGCGGTGGCTGGGAGCGGCCACTGCACTCCAGTCTGGGCGACAGTGAGACTCCAACTCAAAAAAAACCCCAAAAAACAGACACCCTTGTCTTCTCTGGCCTACAAACCTTCCTCAAGTTAACTTCAACTCACCTTCCCAAACTTCCTGTCCACTGAGTCCTATTGCATATGCAAATAGACTTCCTCTACCTCCTTGTTATTTCCTCTTCTAGATTTCCTCAGTTAACACCTCTGGATCTTGCATCTTTCCATCTTTCTCTGGAATAAATGTTCACTGTAACACTCAACTCTCCGAGTCTTGATTATTTTAAGACTATTGTGCATCTACCGTCCAGTCCCAACAAACCTTTCACCCTTGCTTTACCCAGAGTGAGACTGACTAGTGGCTCCACCACGTCCCCAGCAGTCTTGACTCCGTGATGCAACCCTTCAACCTCTCTCTGCTATTTCCCTCAATACTAAATCCCCCTCTTTCTATTATCCTGAAACCCCAATCTGAAATGTGTACTATCTCTGCCCCTATACCTGGATGGCCAAAATTGAGGGGGATGGGAATAAAAAGACAAATTCTGGTGGGCTCTTGGAAGTATTTTTGCTGTTCTTAGCCAGTTCTCCTCTCATTGCCACGGTGACTATTCTGAACAACCCACATACCCTCCCAAGTCTCCTATGCTATCTCTGTGTCTCTCAGACCATCTTGCCTCTTATTTCTCTCCGAAAACGAAGACTGTGAACTCCCTCACTTCTACTCCCAAACCTACAAGCAGGGACAGAGCCAAGTGTTATGGAGTTTAATGTTTAGTCACACTGAGGGACCGGAAGAGGGACTCTAACAAAACAGAACACAAAATTACATATACCAACACATACTACAACAACTACTTGGGGGGGCTGAGATGGGAGGATTGCCTGAACCCAGAAAATTGAGGCTGCAGTGAGCCGTGATCAGTCCATTGCACTCCAGCTTGGGCAACAAAGTGAAAATCTGTCTCAAAAAACAAACAAGGAACAATGGACAGTTACAGGGGAAACTGACAAATGCATAAGTCAGTATGAGATTTATAAAAACTTCACTCAGATATTGATAGATCACGCAGGCAAAAATTAGTAAAAAAAAAAAAAAAAATTTACCAGAGAAACTTTCAGCTGGGTTAGGTGGCTCAGCCTGTAATCCCAGCACTTTGCTGTGGCCGAGGCAAGTGGATTGCCTGAGCCTGCGGGTTCAAGACCAGCCTGGGCAACTTGGTGAGACCTCCTCTCCACAATAACTAAAAACTTAGCCAGGCGTGGTGGTGCATGCCTATAGTTCCAGCTACTTGGAAGGCTGAGGCGGAAGGATCGCCTGAGCCCAGCAAGTCAACACTGGGATGGCCATGAGTGTGCCACTGTACTCCAGCCTGAGATGGAGTGAAACTCCAACTAAAAAAAAAAGAAACTTTCAACATTTTATGGGAAAAGATATGATGGCTTGACAAAATGGGTACACTAAATTCTGCCCACAACAAAGAATAAGCTTATATATTTATAAATTTATAAATATTGACTGCAACCAGGTAACAAAGCAAGTGTTCATAATTCCAAAGACTCTATGTCACACAGCACAATAAAAAGATATTCTTTAAAAATTGCATATGTTTGGAAAGTAAAAACCATACTCCTAAACCACTCCCAGGTTAGAAAAAAATTAGCAGAAACTTAAAAAGGGAATTTACAGCTTTAAATGCATTTACGAAAGAACAAGAACTGCTCATATTAGTTAAGCATTACTGAGGAAGTTAGGAAAAGGACAAGGTGTAACTGAAAGAAATAAAGAAAAATAAAATAATGAAGAGTAGAAATAGAAAACAAAACAAAATGAAATAGAGATGATTAGCAAAACCAACAGATGATTCTAGGAAAAAATTAATAAATCATTTTTATATTAACAAACTATAAGACTGCTCAAAAGTGAAAAAGAAGAGGTACAAATAATGTGAGGAACCAAAAAAGTAGACAATTTTAAGGATGAAAAATTGTAGAAATGGTATAAAAACTTTATACTAATGATGTTGAAAACTTGCATTCATATTTTATTTAAATAGTTATTATCAAGACTAATTGAAGAAGAAAGAAAATCTGAATAAACCAACAATTACAGAAGTAACTGATTCTAAAAAGGAGGCACATAATTAACTGAATACGATGTGTGGCCCTTGTTTGGATCCTAATCCTAACAGACCAATAGTGCAGAACACAGCAGAAGTTTATGAAATAGAAACACTAATTAGATATCTGATGATACTGTATTTCTTTTGGGGACATAATGGTGAGTTTTGTTTTTATTTTTTTCAGGAAAGATATATACTAAAGTACCTATGGCTTAAATGATAAGACATTTTGAATTTGCTTCAAAACAATGAAGTGTGGTGGTGGTGGAAAGTGAATATAGGTTACGTTTCTTCATTTGTCTTTTGTTTTTGTTTTTTTCGAGGGGAGAACATTGGACTTCCAGCATCTGTTTCAGAAGGAGCAGAAAAAGAGGAAGAGTGAAGATTAAGAAGAGAAAGGCAGGAAGTTGATGAATCAAGGTCTCCGTGGAAGTGGAGAGATGAGCGCCAGGACACAGAGCATTTCCTTTTGAGAAAGGGATGAGACCTGTTCCCAGAAACTGAGAAAACTGTCAGGAAACACACATTTGTAATATGGAAATGGTGACACAGATAAGTATGCAAAGGTCAGATGTATGTATAAGTTTACTGTGGAATTATGATGCTTAAGCTTTGTGTCTTACTTGCACTGGCTTCTTTGAGTGACAGGAATTACTAGGAGTTGTAAGGTCCAAGGCAGGGAGGGAGCATCAGGTTGCAAACTTTTTTTTTTTTTGAGATGGAGTCTCACTCTTGTCACCCAGGCTACAGTGCAGTGACACGCTCACTGCCACTGCAGCCTTGACCTACTGGGCTTAAGTGATCCTTCCACCTTAGACTTCCAAGTAGCTGGAACTTCAGGCCCACACTAGCATGCCCAGCTAGTCTTTGTGATTTATGGTAGAGATGAGGTCTCACCAAGTTGCCCAGGCTGGTCTTGAACCCCCAGGCTCAGGTAATCCTCTCACCTTGGCCTCCCGAAGTGCTCGGATTACAGGCTGAGCCAACATGCTTGGCCCGGCAGCAATTCTATATCAGCATTTTGGATCACAAAGTCTCAGAAGAATGTTACCAATCTCTAAGCTTTCAGTAACTTATTGTGATTTATTTTCTAATTTTTCAATAACTTTCGCTTTAGTGCCTAAGTTTCTAACAGGCCTGCATTTGTATGCACCTAATGATGTATCTTTTCACATCATGACATTAAAAAAAAAAAAGATAGCATTTGCTTGGCACACCAACTGAGG